GGGGGGGGGGGGGGGGTTCATTTCTATATGTTGGGGCTCTTCATGTTGTTTATTCCCATGCACTCTCTAACCGATGCAATGCATGCTATTGCAGTTAGAACGACTTGCAGGGGTCTAAGCTTTTGTCTCTCTTCAACTAGGTGAGAAGATCCTGAGCAGTGCTTTCGGACAATTTTGTTGCTTATGTCCAGGTTTTGTCAGGTAAGAAGTTATGTTGAGAGTAACTTTAGGATACTCTTGTGCTGCTAGAACTTAGGTTGCTTCGACTTCCTTCCTTCTGATGAAACGAATCTCGATATGTATCATGACACTCTGACATGTACTTTTGTACATATCTGTTGTATGTCGATCGATCATTCCTAGTCCAACTTGTCACTAAAGAAACTATCCTTCAAGATTTGTTGCTTTCTTTGATGGTTCAAAGCGCCATCACGCGGATAATTGAAATGTCTCATCTGCTGCTGAATTCAAATTCTAGGAATGCCTCTTCAAAGATTTGGATAATTACACAATGGCATAGTTATCGAGTTTGAAGTTTTATATGGTTCAGTGTTTGCTTATAGGGGAAGTATTTATTGATTATGCTTACACAAAGGCATTGGCATTGTGTCCAATGGCACATGATATGCTAATGTCTGTTAGGAGATACTAATTTGGATTGTCAATGATCTCTCAATATCTTTAGAGTTAAGTTGCTCGGACTCGGGCGCGGGTTTCCGATACGGGTACGGATTTGAGAGTCGTATTCGACAAAATCTTAATTTTAAGATTCGGGGGGTGCGGATCCAGGTATGGATATGGGCGTTGGCATTAGGCTAAGAAAATTCAAAATTATAAAAATAGAGCTGTAAAGATATTCTAAATTTTGAGAGGTAATTTTGTGAAAAACCTATATGTATATTGTAACAGCGAATGTGAGACAAAAGGACTATAATGTTGAAGGTATGCCATTTCTCATGTTTGAAATCTGTTTTATCTTTTATTTTGAGAAATCAAAATCTCAATTTCCCCCATGTTTGTCCCATGGACTCCGGTCAAAGTATCCAAAGTTGGTTGACCGAATCCCGAACGTATCCTGCACCTGCGTCCGTCCCAGTGGCGTGTTGAGACAAGTTCGGCATAAAAATGAAGAGTCCGTGCAACTTAGCTATAGAGAGAAATTAACCTAAAGAGTTGGTCACCCAATCACTTAAACTGAAAATAGCAGGCTGGATGAATAATATATATAAAGTTCATATATAATATGTATATAATCTAGTATAATCAATGTATAATTTATGCATCTATTTGTGTAAAGATTCCATATATAAATTCCCATGATAATAATCTTGCTAAATTATAGCATGGTTAGGCTAGGTGAGACTTTATTAATCATGAAGTATAGTGACTTTTACACAAAGTGGTACTTTAAGCTTTGTTCTAACATTGAATGTATAATGCTCTTTCCAATTCTTTAGGGAAAATGAAGCAATCAATCAACTCTGTCTCAATCCTAATTTAGTTGGTAGGTTTATTATATGTACTTAATTACGATAGTATCTGAACCAGCTTGCGCGTACCTCAATTGTTCTATTGGTTACTTGTTATTTCCCATCATCAGAGGGGTGTCGAATAACTTTGTCTAACCAAGGTTTAAACAGATAAGAAGGAATTATATTATCCTTTTCTGTCTGCTTAGGCCTACTTTATCCCAGTACAAGATGAATTAACTACACTTCTGAAAAATTGGAGATTTCCAGTTTTGGAAGATTGGGTTTTAAATCATTTCCTAAGAAGAAAAACACAATCTTCCAAATCAGCATGACGTTTCAGGTTCAAGTCCCAGTGGAGACAAAAATGTTACTCGCTCCGTTCCAATTTATGTGAATCTATTTCTTATGCCAGAAAGAATAACCCTTTCTAAATTTAGAAATAATTTAACTTTAAGAGAAGCTCCAATCGGAGCAAAGGCTGGGTCTGTTCTCCGAGCATTTGCCTCCTCTCGACCCTGAGACAATTTTTAATTCTACTCTTAATGAGAAGCTTTTATAGCAACACAAATACGTTGGCTTGTTTAACACCACAAGTTTCAAAGGACAAGTAATTAGTTTGTAAATATTATGGTTTGTTTAGGACCACAAGTTTTAAAAGTCTTCATTTCTTTTCTAATCTCCATACCCAGTCAGCTAGGTTAACATAATTTCGAACGGAGGGAGTAGTATGTTATTTTTATCCATTTGTTTAAGCTTTAGTGGACAGAGTTACTCGGTACTTGTGCTGGTGGGAGATAGTAGGTACCTGGTAAAATTAGTTGAGGTGCGCACGAGCTGGGTGGTCCGAATACCCAAGATTAAGATAAAAGATATCCAAACAAATTGCTAATAAATGATATGAAGAGACTAAAATAAGGTTCTCCCATTTCACCACCTAGGATCTAACAGATTTGCAAACAATGAAATGCAGAGAGAAAAGATGAAAGCATGACATATATAATTTTAATATAAGATTATTACATAATTTCATCAGGTACATTTACATGATCATTTTTTACATATTATCAACCCTTAATAACATATTAATCAACGTTTAATTATCTGCTTCAAATCCTCAAAACTCCAATCCCTTCTCATCCCAGAGCTCCTCACCAATTTCGGCGAATCGGTCAAGAACTCCATTGGACCACTGTTATGAATCCTATGAGAACCTTTTTTCGCCTTTATTTCTTTCCCCAGAAGCGATTGACCCCTCGTTTTTTCAAACCTAGGCTTTGGTACCAAGTTTCCTGACCAGTTTCTTTCAATCTTCCCCGAAAAAAGGCGAAAATTCGACTTTCCTGGACTATTTTGATGAACATTATTGAACCTTCCCCTTAGTTCATCTTCTGAATCTGTTCTTTTTAGAACTTGGCATGTCAAGCAATTTAGAGTCATTGTTGTATAAAAGAAGAAGAAGAAAAGAAGAATAGAAGGTTTATAAGGTAATGAATAATGCATAGGATATGTGTTATTTCATATGTACTAAATATTTTTTAGGAGATTGAGTTGAGGGTAAGGGTTGGTTTTTTGGATTTTTGTTTTCTCCCATTTTATTGGAGATTTTAAGGTCTTGTGTTAATAATGGCCATTCTTTTTGGTTTTACCCTAAAATAAAGCTCAATCAATCTTTAGGTAGTGGATATTATTACATTATCTAACACAAAGGAAAATATTATTTATTACTATTAATCTTTTCTTTGTAACCGAGAAATCCTCTAGAGTCAATGGTGCCGATTTCAAAATTCGATGAATAATGGGCTCGTCTTTTTATCCTTATCTACTTAGATATCAGACTTGGAACAAGGCTGAAATTTATAACGTGTGTCTAATTCACATATGATCACCAGCTACGCTCTTACCAATAGAGCAAAATCCAAAGCGCTCGTCTTCTTACAAATTTATTGTATTGTGTGTTTATTACTCCCTCGGGTCTACAACAAGTGATCATTTTACCTTTTTATTTTGGTCCAAATTAAGTGTTTATTTACATAATCAAGAAGGAATTACTTTTATTTTTCCAAATTTGCCCTTATTTACATATTCCAATGTGTCAAGGTAACTAACAATTAATTAAGATTAATTTAGTGAATACATCTTCTCCTTTTTCTAGGAATTCGTATTTCCTTAATGGGTGTGTCAAAGATAAAATGGTCACTTATTGTGGGCAGGAGTAAGTATAAATCAATTCCTGTGACACTTAGAAAAATTAAGAATTAATGCCCTTTTTATTTCAGAACCCAAAAAAAAAGGGTAGATTTATGTAGCTTATTCTATTACAATAGGTTAGGTACCATTTTTAATAGGTTAATTAAATCATTAAAATTTCCAAAAAGGCAAAATCATAAAGTTCAACTTTCAATTATGATTATTAAAGAGACTTTTAGAGAACCAAAGAACATAGAAATAGTGTAGCTGTATGATGGACCTATCTCATGAAATTTCATGGTTGAAATATTTTGTACAAAAGCTAATCCACCTACCCTACCCTACACTGAACCCCCAACCCTATCATTCACAAAATTAATAAATTTAATTTTGTTATTAAATATGTTATTTATATATTTTGCTTAAAGAGACAAAATAAATACAAAAAGAAAATGTGAACACAAAAAGGGACCCAACACAATGGCGTCTGAACACATTTGTAAAAAGAGACTAGAATATAAAATTAACTTCACATGTAAAACATGATCATTTTGTTATTATTATTATTATTATTATTATTGTTATTATTATTATTATTATTAACAATTAATTTTTGTCGTCAAGACTATTCTCCGAACAAATTATATCAGGGTCAATTAATTCGCTTTAGACTGCAAGGTGGTTCTTATCCACACAAAATAAATTTTCTTTCTTTTTCTATTACAACACTAGAATACATGGTTAAAATCGCAACTAAGGGAAAAATTAGATGAATTCTTCTCATCTGCTTAAATTTTGATATTTAAAGTTACGTGATACTTACAATTGAAAAGTCATAAATATATGTAAATTAGTCAAGATGCATACAAATTAAATCGAGTGCCGTCCTTATCCAAGAAAGAAGTATCTTGGTCATGTGAGTTGAAAATTTAATGAAATAGATTGAGAATCATAAAGTCTTATGTTCAAATTTTAGCGGAGGCAAAAACACCTCGCGGTTTCTTCCCTTTCTATTCAAGCTTTACTGGACAAAGTTACTTACCATGTATTTATGCTGGTACGAGATAATAAATACCTCTTGTAATTAGTTGAAGTACACACAAATTGGCTCGAACCACAACTCTATAAATAAGATACTCTTAGGGCTCGTTTGGTACGAGGGATAAAGGATAATTAATCCCGGGATTAATTTTGAGATGAGTTTGTCCCATATTTGGTTGGAATAAAATTACGGTAACTAATTCCAGGATTAGTTATCCCGGGATTGTAGTATTTTTTATCCTTATGGAAAGGTGGAATAACTTATCTCGGAATTAGTTATCCCGGGATTAGTATTTTTTTTATCCTTATGGAAAGGTGAAATAACTACTCCCAAATAATTAATCGTAAGATAACTTGTTTCCAACCAAACGACCCCTAAAAATACTCTTAAATAGATTTACACTGTAAAAATATAACTACAAATTTCTTTTTGTAATAATTAAGCATGATTGTGTGGTTTCAATTTTTTAATACCAACTTAAACCATACAACACCTCAAACAAGACTGATTTTTGTCATATCCATCAATTCGTTTCCATTTGGTTTATACTTTTTACTGTTGTTACAATATAATAAAAGCTTGTACCTAAATTAACTGCACTTGAAAAGATTGTGTCACTTCAACTCAAATGACATTATAATACTATATACTATATTCTTTTAAATATTTCTTGGTCCAATAAATACAACAAAGAGTGGACCAAGTTCAATGAATTCCTTAAATGAAAATGCAGCCTACCCCTTGTTGGTCCTTTCTTCTAGACTAAAACAAGCAAATTATTTATCCATTATAAATAGTTGGAAACAATTTTTTTTTTTTAAAAGACTATTTCATTCTAAAA